GAGAGAGAGAGAGAGAGAGAGAGAGAGAGAGAGAGAGATTTATGCATGTTGTGTGTACATGTGTGTGGGTTTGTGCCTGTGCAGGCATGTGTGGACCCCAGAGGTCAATGTTGGGATATCTTTCCCAGATTATTTCTCCACCTTATCTTTTGAGATAGGAGAGAGAGAGAGAGAGAGAGAGAGAGAGAGATATTTATGCATGTTGTGTGTACATGTGTGTGGGTTTGTGTCTGTGCAGGCATGTGTGGACCCCAGAGGTCAATGTTGGGATATCTTTCCCAGATTATTTCTCCACCTTATCTTTTGAGATAGGGTGCCTTTGGACCTAAAACTTGCTGTTTTGACTAAGCAAGCAAGCTCTTGGGACCTGCCTTTCCCTGCTCTCCAGTGCTGGCATTATAGGTAGGCTCCACTGTACTTGGCTTTTAATGCTCAAATTCAGGTCTCTCAGAGTGCTCAGCAAGCACTTTACCCACTGAGACAGCTCACCAACCCAAGATGTAAGGAAGTGGTCAGGTCTTGGGAGTCATCCCTCAAGAATGAGTAGTGTGATTATCCCCAAGAGTGGCTTTGTTATTCTGGGAGTGGGTTTCTGATAAAATAATCAGTTTGGGGCCCCTTAGTCTTCATCTGGCATTGTTCTCTTGCCTTCCCTACTTCTCCCATGAGATGAAACAGCAAGAGGGCACTTGCTAGACAGGCCCCAACCTGGGACTTCCCAGCATCCATCACTGTAAGAACTCTCTATTCACTATAAACTATCCATTCTGAGGGCATTCTTTTACAGCAATACAACAACCACCTATGAATTCTTCCCAGTCTTTCCTTACTCATCAGTAAGGAAACATGTAAGTTCAATATTCTTATCTTTACATTTCTATTTATTTTTATTTTTTATTTAAAAAATTTTTTGTGTGTATGGGTGTTATGCCTACATGCGTGTAAGTGCACCTGTGCTATGTGATGCTCATGGAGGACAGAAGAGGGAGTCAAATCCTATGGAACTGGAGTTAAGGATGGTTGTTAGCCACCATGTGGGTGCTGGGATTTGATCCTGGGTCTTTTGCAAGAACAGTCAGTCCTTTTAACTGCTGAGCCATCTCTCTAGCCCCTATGTTTACATTTCTCACTCGTACCACAGGATATAAATATGGAGAATGAAATATGCTAAGAATAAAAAATTAATTTTTTCATTTAGAAAAAATCAAATAGCAAATAAAAGATCATAAATAACAGAGAGGGAGAGGGCGGCCACAAAGAGAATGAAAAACTAATAAAATTTCATGTGCTTATACTTTGAATGGGACATAGTTCAATATTCCATCTTTTACTGGGCTGAGCAAATTATGTAGTCAGTTCTATAGCAAGCTGAGAGTCTATGTAAAACTTTGCTTAAATGCTATGCAGGGGATTTCAATTGCAACGATACATATTTCCATTAATGTATTTTTCTTAGAAAAAAAACCAAATCAAACATTGCAAAATGTTTTAATTTAACATAATTTCTGTGTGAACATTTATTATTACAGTCTCCAGAATTTTCTATATGCTTGAAATATTTCACAAAAGCCTCATTTTATTAAAGCGACATGGGGAATAAAAGCAAGAAACAGGTATGAGAAGAATGAGGAATAGAACAAAGTTGAAAAGTGAGCTTTAAAGAATAAACTCTGTTCTCAAGACATTGCCAAGTACATTACCATGACGATCTTCCCGGCATGAAATTCCAAAGTTGAAATCAGCAAGGACGCGGCCTCATATGCCATATCATAATTCTGTGCACACAATTTCTTCAGGAGTGTCCATACAAAATTACTCAGCCAGAGAGGCTGCAACAGCTCCCCTATACTCTGAAGCCAGAAGGAAGTTTGTGACCACCAGTGTAAGAAAGACAGCTGAACTCAGATACTGCTGGGGAAGCTCAAGGGAGTGCTAAACATTCATGGGCCACTGAGGCCACCTTTTCTGTTAAAAATGATGAAAAGTATGTTTGCAGTAGTGTTAGTGTGGAACTGCCAACCTCAAGAATTATTATGCTTAGATTATCTTCTAATTTTAAAACATTTTCAATGTTTAAATATTATTGTAAACTTGTGAGTTTACTCAGATTAGGAAAAAAAATTCATAGAAGATGCTGGAGGAAATAGAGTGAGAAAGTCAAGGTGATTTAAAGTGTACTTTTTTTGGAGGGGAGAGAGAGAGAGAGAGAGAGAGAGAGATTCATGTGCCTATGGTTGAGGTCCAATTCTTATGAAAACAGTCCTTTTTAAAGTTAGAGGAATAGCCATGGTCCATAAGATTTGAATAAAACTACACGATTGTGAGAGTAAAAAGATCAACGTGACAGTTTGTCTTTTTGCCTTTATATGAAAAAAAAAGTCATTTATCCAAGTACAAATAGTCTATCTCATCAATAAAAGTTTTAACTTACTGCCTTTAAAGGGATGGGGTATGGCTCATTTTGCTCAATAGGGAGGTCTGAGAGAACAGACAGTCTCCAGCTCTGGGCTCCCAAGTCTGTGTCCATGGGGCAGAAGAGTGAAGAATGATTACCCTGGAAAGCTATGGACCAAAACCAAAGGAGGACAACCAAAGCTTAGAGAGATAACCGAGTTACTATAAGTAGTTTTCCCTATTTGAAGAAAGCCAAATTTAATTTTTAAAATTAAAGTCAAGAAAAATCATTGGAAATGAGAATTTTCTCTTTCAAATAGTTAACTCAACAAAATTTACTTTAATTTCCTCCTAAAAGTTACAGAAAATGCAATTTTCAGTGAAACGTGGAGCTAGCGTTTTTGTCTTGTGAAGCTGCAGATGTGACAGGACAGCTGCATTAAAAGTTAGAGACTGTTGGGACTAGGGAGCTGGCTTAGTTGATAAAGTGGCTTCTGTGCTCACATGAGAACCCAAGTTTGGGCACCCAGTACCCATATAAAATCTGGGGGCAGAGGGAGCAGGGGCAGGTGGATCTTTGGCGATAACTGGCTGGCTAGTCTAGTCAAATCAATGAGATTCAGGTTCAGTGATAGACTCTATCATAAAAAATAAGGAAGCAACTGAGAACCATAACTGAAGTCCATTTCTTGCATCCACGTGATCGCACATGGGTGAATGCACACTCACATGTACATCCCCCAACAGAGTTAGAGTTTTCTCTAGCAGTGCTACACTAATTACATAGTATCATCTGGAATCCAGAGATCACCTCATCTGTTTCTCACTATTACGTTGTAATGTTACATGTTCCTGAGGTGCTTGCTTTAATGGCTGCAAAAAATACCGTAAATTAATATTCCATAATTTGCCATGTATTATTCTATGCTGGGCATGCTACCTTGAAAAATATGTCTGTGAAGGTCCTCTCTTACAAACAGATGAATTATTTTGAGTTACTCTCTATGAAGTCCTATGAGAAAAATTACTTTCTATTGTATAAATATTATTTATTTTTATTTCTTTATGTGTATGAGTATTATGTTTGCATGTATTATAAGTCTACCCATGTTGGCTAATGCCTATGGAGGATGGAAGAGGGCATCGGATCCCCTGGAATTGGAGTTATGGATAGTTGTTAGCCACCATGTGGGTGGCTGAGATTCAAACCTGGGTCTTCTGCAAGAGCAGCCAGAGCTCTTAACAGCTGAGCCATCTCTCTAGCCCCTTATATAAACATTTTGTCAATGGCATGTCCATAGTCCTCTGTTAATTCTATGTGAAGTAGTGTTTTCACAAATTGTCACTTTATAAAGGAGGAGTAACAACTTGTGAATGGCCCATTAAAGCAGGTTCAGTCCAGCCTTCCCACTTTGATGTTGTTTTGTATCCATCTGCCTTAGGAGACAACCTTGCACTTGCACTCTTGTTCGTATCCTCTGGATTTTTTTGGATTCTTCCTACCTCCCTGTTACTCTTCTTGTTAGAATCTTTGATTCTCTGAACCCACCTGTTCTGTTTCATTTTTGAGGTTTCTACCTCTGTGTGGTCCACCCATTGCTCTTACATACCCTGTCAGCACTGAACTTCCGGTCTCTCTACTGGAAACTGAAAAATAAGTCATAAGTACAAGGATCCAGGGCACCCAAACTCAGGGATTTCTAAACCTGATAGATACTGAATTCAGGTATGAGAGTTCAACCTGGAGGTGTTGAGAGTGAGTCTCATGAGCCATTTGGAAAAGGTCCCAGTTTCAGGCTTACTATCCCAATCTTGACACTTGGAATTCCGTCTCCTGGCATTGCACTGGGAGGGATGGTGGGTGGATGAAGGTTTGCTTGCACACTGTCACAGATGCCTGCTTTTTTCATGGATGTATCCCCAATAATAGTTAACAAGGTTTCTGAGTTTTGACGTTATGTGGTTAAGAAAAGACCTTGACTTTGGAAAGATTATGCACATGTGTATTGAAAACAACTGCACAGTATATTTTGGTCATAGAATTTTAGTTGCATTGGTTTGGCATGTTCTTAGCCTCCCACAATTTCAATTACATTAGCCATGGGAGGAGAAACACTGCTTGTGTATGTGGTTTGTAGGGTGTGCTGGAAAGCTTTAGTTGTCAATTTTACACTCCTGGGAAGAGGGAACTTCAGTTGGGCAATTTTCTAGATTGGATTGAACTGTAGACATGTCTGTGAGTCATTTTCTTGAATGATGAGTGATGTGGGCATACTCAGCCCACTATGAGTGGTGCCATCACTGAGTAGGTGGTCCTGGGTTGTATAAAAAAGTACGCTGAGCACAGGCCAGAGGAGCAAGCCAGTAAACAGTACGCTGCGTTCTGCACTTGAGCTCTTGCCTCCAGGTTTCTTCCCTGAGTTCATGCCCTGACTTCGCTCAATGATGGACTATGACATGGGAGATGTAAGATAAAATAAACCCTTTCCTCCCCAAGTTGGCTTGGTCAGTGTTTTTAATCACAACAATAGAAAATAGCTAGGACAGAGAAGAACACCCTCTCATCCTGAAAGATAGGCTAACCTGAGGGTCCTCCCTGGGAATTTTGCCGAGCTGTTGGCTCAGTGTGTATGGCTGGAGGTCAATCCAGTTGACAGTCCAACCTGGGCCTCAGTGTTGGGCAAATTTCAAGACTCTAGGTTAAAGTGTGTATTGTGAAGACTGAGAAAGTATATAGATCTATAGAGCTTAATGGTTTTCCAAAGAATTAGGATATGGTAAAACTTATTTACTTCCACTAAGTTTTATCAGTTTATTTTATAAACATTTCCTTGAGGCAGTCTTTCTATGTAACTCACACTGGCCTTGAACTCACTACCTTAATTCCTCAGCTCCTTGAGTGGTGAAATTACAGGCATATACTCCCATGTTCAGCTCTTATATTTTTTAATTTCATAATTATTTTAAACACACTCTAAGTCACAGTCATTCTGATTGATATTTGTGGGGAAATTATGACAGTATTGAAAACATTGTTAATGGTTGATTCCCTTAATTTTGTGAAAAATCCAGAAGTTATCCATGTTTTGAAGTATTTGCTCTCTAAAAAGACTATAACTAAGAAACACCTATCTAATTTTTATTTTTAACAATTAAATAGCATATTTTAAATGGCTATATTTGAAGATAATGAGCATAATTCTTATAATCAAGATGAGAGTTGGGAAACTTGGCATTCTGTGTGTCACACATTTTCTTCTCTGAGTTAAGAAAGTGAACATTTCTTAAAAACACAAACTTTGATTAAATAAGTTACATAGGGTAAAGTTGGAGCTAACGTACCCGGGCAATTTTCGTTTTGTCCCCTTGTGTGATCTTGGTTAGTAATTCAAAGTCGGGAGATGTAGTTTCGGTGTCGTTTTCTTGCTCATTCTGCTTGGTAGGTTTGTGTTTTATAATATTGGCTGTAATAAGGAAAAGAATTTAAGGTTTTCATTTGATCACTGGGTCTACATAAGACATTGTCATTTCTGGTTTTCTTTCATGATGGCGTTGACCCAGAATTTATAAAGTATTTAAATGAGGCTATATGGAATATGAATGAAAGAAATAATTTTAATAGGTCGATCAGATAACAACTATATTTGGGCCAACGATCAAATGTATTGTTCCATGCATAGAAAAAAATTATTGCTTAGTTGGAGGATGCATTGGTTAGAGAGCAGATTTGTAGGCAGTTTGAGAGGAGCTGGCACGTGAACTGCTAGCAAAGCCTAAGTCGTTATTCAAAGCTTCAGGTACGGATACCTTTAATTCTAGGAAGATGGGTTTTATAGGATTTTGTTTGTCTTTAACAGAATTCTAGAAATACAACCAACATATAAAATTTAAAGTGTACAGCTTAGTAAGATTTTGTGTGTATGTACACCCATGAGCATATTTACACATTCAAAGCAATGATCATGTCTATGGTTTCCAAATTTCCCTTTATCATTTTATGACTTCTTAAATCTGCTCTCCACAGTATCAGATTCCAGGAAAACCAATAATTTGCTAGCTACTATCTGCTCTCTTTCATGTTTGTATTTTGTAAATCTGTTTGGAGTGAAGTCATAAACTCACTTTGATTGACCCTCTCACCCAGAAAAGTAATTTAGGTCAATTCATGTTCTTGAACATATTATCAGTCTATTTTTAATACTGATATTACTATTCGTGTGTGTATGTTCCAGTTTGGGCTTTTACAAAGCAATATGCTCTAAGCACTCATGTGTAAGTATTGTATAAATATTTACTTAGGTAGATATCAAGTTGTACAGTGACTGCATCATATGGTAAATGGATGTTTAACTTTTCATTACACTGATAAATTATTTTCCATCATATGCTATTTTGAGACAGGATCTCCTTGTAGCCCCAGCTGGCCTGGCACTCTCTTTGTAGACCAGGCTGGCTTGCATCTCAGAGATCTGCCTGCCTCTGCCTCCTGAGTGCTGGGATTAAAGTCTTCACCACCATACCCAGCTCACTCTGCTGTGTGTAACACTGTTGTGTCTTTTCTCCTTTTGTCCCCATGGAAAGAGGAAAGAATCAGTGCCATTCCTTGCCCCTTACTGATTTTCTGCCTTTTGGTACCTCATATTTCATTCTCACCTTCATTAATTCCTCTTTCTGTTGTTGTCTTCATTTACTCTTCTTTCTCTAGTTTTACAAGATAGAGGCTCAGAACTGAGACCTTTTCTCCATGCTAAAATAGGTACATCATTGTATGAATCTTTTTAGTACATTTATCTGCATCTTACACATTTTGGCACTATATTTTCACTTTTATTCAGTTCCAGATATGCTTCTTTCCTCTTTCTGGTATGATCCACAGGTTATTTAGAAGTATGTTATTTTTCTTTCAAATGTTTGAGGTTTCCTGATATTTATTATTGTGATTTTAAATTTAAGACCATTTGGTCAGAGAACTAATTTCTTGAAATTTGATTTTTGCTTTAAATGGGGTCTATGTACTGATGGTTTACCAAAATCATTGAAAATATTCATTTTTCTGTTGTTAGTGCAATGTTCTGTAAATACTAGTTAGGTCAGGTTTGGTTCAAGTCCTTAATGAGTTTGCGTGATTATAAGTGGCTGAGAGAACTTTGTTGACTTCCCTGACTATGACTGTGGACCTTTGTTTGTCTTCGCACTTCAACTTTTGGATAGTATATGTCTTATGATTCATTTTGTTTTTAGGCACATGAATATTTAGGATTACCATGTCTGTTCAATAAGCCTACAACTTTATCATCATAAAAAGATCTTTTCCCTCTAGAAGCATTCTTTGCTTTGAAATATATTTTTTTATGTTAACGTAGTCAATCATCTGGTTTGCTTTTGTTTAGTATTAGTATGTTATATTATTTAAAGTCAAGAGCTTGTGTCTATATTTAAACTGGGCTTCTTGTAGGCAATACTTTTTTGGGGTTTTACTTTTTGTCCAATTCAACAACCTCTGCTTTCTTTTTTGGAGTATTTTTAGCATTTATATTTACTGTGTTGGAATTAATTTTTCCTTTGGTTTGTTTTTCTATTTTTCTCAGTTGTATTTCTGTGCTTCCTCTTCTTTTGGCCTTCATTTGAGTTAAATGGATTTTATGAATTAACTTTATCACCATTTTAGTTCATTAGATAACTCTTGTCTACATTATCTTAATTGTTGAACTAGGTTTTGTATTGCATATTTAACGTGACACAGTCACTTTTATATGATTTTTCATGAGTATGTGCATAGTAGAAAAATCTTAAAATAATATTAACACATTTCTTTCCTTCAAACTTTCATCCCATTATTCCTTTACTTTAATCTTGTTTTTTTTCTTAAAAATCTTATTAATTATATGAGAATTTCGACCTCCTTCTGCTTCCCTGGGCCTACACAACCCACCAGCCTCTGTCCTGGACACCAGGGCTGACCTCTCAGCCCAGAACCACCACTCCTTCCTGATCCTTTGTATCCAGACCACCCCAGTTCCTTCTCATGGTCCCCAGGAGCCCTCTGGGCCTGGTCCCACCCTTACCTCCCTCTGTTTCCCTGGGCT